ATTGATGAGTTACACACTCTTGGAAGGACGAGGCAGCACCAGCTTTAATCCAATATCAACCACAAAGGAAGGCATGTAAGAGAGAGGGATCCAGAGAAGCTTAGCATCCCAGCCGGCGCTGTACCGAGTGCGTGGGTGAGCCGCAGTCAGAGCGTGCTCCATGCAGCTGGTCACCTTGGTGAGATCTGAGTCACACACAGCATTCATGATCAAACGCTGGATCTTGATGTCGAAAAAAAAAAAAAAAAAAAAAAAAAACACTCAAATTAAAACTTCTTCAGGGAGCAACTGATGGAGAACTTTTTTCTTTTTCATTACTAGTGTTGCCCCAAACACTGTGCCGCAAAAACAGCCAATGAACAGACACATGCAGTTTTAGCTTATACTTACAGTTATCCAGGTACTTCTCTCCATAGCTTGCTTTTACTTCGGGGCTGAGCTGATTCCAGAGACGGTGCAGCTCCCTCTCAATGGGATCCAGGTTAGTAACTGCTGTCTTGAAAAATCCTGGCTCAATGATGCACACTTTGATTCCAAAGTAGCTTATATCTCTCCTGAAAATGGAAGACATACAGACTAGTAAATAATGCAGTTTTACATGCTTCAAGTTCATTTAATGGTTTGTAAATGACCCTTCCCTCTTTTTAAGACTGAACTTTTAGTTTTGTGCTTTGATTAAGATTAGTCAATGGGAATTGACAGATCCTTTAAACTCTTTTCTAACACTGTTACATTTTTTTATAGCATAAAATGCATTCATTACTGTAATCAATCTGTACATTACTCATTCTGGATTGTACATTCCAGAGAGCTGCTAGTAAAGCCAGAAACATAAGAGGGTTAAGTAAGGCTTGTCGTTTCAAAATGTTCTTCTCTCAGGTTACATCAAAAAATTAGTTATATAAATACTACTGGAAAATTAACATCTTCTATCATCTAATTGTTAGACTTTATGATCATCTATGCTCCCACTCATTAAGTCTTTACTTCCCTGCTGTTATTTTCGCATACCAGCTTACATTTGCACAGTATTGTTTTTATTTGCTGCTGGTTTACATGCACATATATGGACATCTTGTACATTTTTATTTCTCTACTCAGTCGCACATTTCCTCTGACTGTGCTATTTTTAATAACTGCACAGCATTTTAATTTATTATATGTTGCAAATTCACCCTTGCTGTCTCTTATTCTTATTTTTCTGTTGTACTTTTTTTTCTTTACCTCACTTTGAATATCAATACTTCCCTTTGCTTTTGACTTGCTGCAGTACACTTGAACTTCTCCAATGTGCTACAATAGAGGATGTTGTTTTGTTTTTTTTTTTCTATTCTATTAATGGTTTTACCTCAGGCAGTCAGAGAAACTCTCCACTGCAAACTTGGAGATGCAGTACCCGCCACCATTTGCAGCCACCCTGCCGAGGACAGATGCCACATTTACAATACGTCCACGGGCCTTTTTAATGAGGGGCAGGAAGGTCATAGTCATGGCAATGACTCCATTCATGTTCACTTTCAGTGTGCTGTGGAAATCCTCCACTCGCATCCACTCCGAAGGACCCATGGGTAAGGAACGTCCAGCATTGTTCACAATACCCCAAAGTCCTACGAAGAAAACAAAATTGAAAAGTTACAGTTTCAAAACTGATTTCTCATATATTTATTGTGTGATTTAATCTCACCTCTATCTCCAACCTCCTTCTTGGTCCACTCCATAGCTGCCTGGATGCTGCTCTGACTGGTCACATCCAGCAGGACCGTCTTAAGGTGAGGCCCCGTCACTCTTTTCAGATCATCAGCTCCCTTCTCTGTGAGACAGCCAGCCAGAACTCGAAAACCTCTGCGGTCGAGCTTCTTGCACAGAAGGTTCCCAAACCCCGTGTCACATCCAGTCACGAAGACGTACTTGTCAGAAAGGTTCTCTATCTCCAGGCTGTCTCTGTACAGCCACACCAGAATCCACAACAAAGCAAAGGAAGCTGCAATGTAGTATGAGGCATTTTCTCTAAAAAAAAAATAAAAAAAAAATAAAAAAAAGACATAACATCATGAAATTATGTCTTAATCTGTAATTTGCTCTTAGAACTAAAACTAGAACTAGAACTAAGTCTAAACCATAAAAAATGGTGTCTTGCATTGTCATTTCTTACCCTAAAAGTTCATATATATACTGTGTATCCATGTTGCCTTCAGGTGTTTGTTTTTGGACTCGAAACTGCTCAAAAAACATTCTGCAAAAATGTTTAAAAAGTAATTAAAGCATAAATACAATCATAACCATTTGAAATCCAACTTAACAGTATCCTTATAGGATTGGATTGTAGTGGAACATTCTTGACAGCCTCTAAACACAAGCAGTCTGTATACTAAGACCTGATTTTAATGCAGGACCGTTTTGGTTGGTGTGGGCACATGAGGAATCTTTGTTTAATACTCTTACAGAAGAAAGAAAGGAATTTGTAATGGAGCGAAACACAAGCAGGGGATTATTTTATTTTTAGGTATAATTTCAATCTCCGTGATAGAGCTGCTTGGCTTATGGCAAAAAGCCAATTAATTTGCAGGCTTATCAATTTGTAATACAACAACAAAAGAACTTGTGTAGCTGTCAAAAAATGCCACAGCAATTAAACACTGAATAAATACAATGACCACAAATTCAGAGTAAGGAAATGTAACAATTTGTTATAACTGCTTGTAAAATACTGTGTTTTCATGCATAATTATTATTAATACAATTCATGCCCTGGAAGTGGACAGAAAAGTTGACCAGAAAGTGTCCTAACAAAGAAACAAGATAGATTATTCCCCAAAATCACAGAAGTGTTTTATTTACTTTTTTAAATTCAGCTTGAGGGAATTATGTTATTGTCAACATTTCCAAGAATTTAAATCAAATTTAAGCTGTTTTTATGGGCATGGTGTTTCAAACAACTCTATCCTCTTACCTTTTTTTCCCAGTATTTACTAGACAGTATTTAGAGGTTATTCAAGGTAGGTAAAAAAAAACAAAACAAAACAAAAAAAAAAAAAAAACACCCCTCTCTGGGCATCTAAAGTTCTATTCTATTCTATCCTATTCTATTCTACTTAAAGACTGTTTTCGATGTCATGCATTAAATGTACTTTGTGAGCTTTAGGCCATTTCAGTTAACAACACGCACATGAAATAATAAGCATTTAATAATCCACTGCATTAATTCAGATTTGAGAGAATCAAAATAATTAAAAACTCTAAACCTACCTTATTCTCTTATTGGTCAATGATGGATCTTCACAGTCAGCCCCTTTCCCTTTTCCCTCGTGTATATTCTTCTGATTCAGCTCAGAGGGGCTGGTCAAAGAGAAGCTTTATCCTTGAGGCTTATCCGTTAAGACATGTTCACTGTTAGTAATCCTCAATCCGTAACTATTGCAATTGTTTTAAAGAAAAATGTGAGGGGAACAGGGCAGGAAAACTAAGCTCCAAATAATTTTTTTGCATGTACACCAAAATATCAGAACAGTATTTTTTAGTTTAGAACAAAAAACGTAGAGCTTAGTTGTTCTCACACTTGGTTTAAAAGTTTTGATTCCAAAACATTACTCAATATTCTTTAGGTATTAACTATGTGTTGGAAGTGAAGACATCTGATGTTCACAGTCCTCTTGAGGTGACCTCACAGATATATTTCCAGATATGGTTTTGGATTTGGATATACCTTCCACTCACTGTGATGCTGAAAAATAAAATCAGCATCAAAGGTGAAGATGTCCGCTTTCTTGGGTAGAAAACAATCTTCTGTCTTGCCACCTCAGTCTAACACTGTATATTATTGTCACCAATAGAAGAAAAATAGCAGGAACAAAAAATCCTGCATCACCTTGCTGTCCTCTAGCCAGCCTCCCTGCTTTATGCTTGGAAAAACATGCAGCTTTCTTAATTTGAAATAAATACATATAAATAATACACTTTGTCCTTTATTCTTTGTAAAATTTCTGCAAATTTTGGCTTTAGCAAAATGATAAAAATGAGCAAACTTGGAAGACCAGGGTTTAACTACAACAGACTTGTTTACTTTTGAATTGATTTCATTTTGCGAGTTTTAAATGTTTTTATCTTTTTTTTAATATCTTTTTTTCAAAATATCTTTCTTACTGTTTATTCAATGTCACATGCTGTTTTTTTAATTATGTAAAGCACTTTAAAATGCCTTGCTGATGAAATGTGCTATACAAATAAAATTTGATTGATTGATTGATTGATTGATTGATTGATTGATTGATTGCTTGATTTGGACAGCATATGTCACATTAAAGGTTTTAAACAAGTTTTCGTTATTTTTTTTCCATAAAAAATTGAAAGGGCGGTTATTAAATTTTATTGAGTGAGTGGTCTCAAAATTATGAAACAACAAACTAAGATGTTGAACTATAACAATTATTTCCTAACTATTTCAGTCTCTGGAAAAACTTGGTATACATCTACTTCTACATTTATAATATCATCCAAATCTGGACTGGATGTAGATTCCAAAAATCACTGTTTGTTTGTGAAAGATTATTTTCTTTGTTTCTAAAAATAATTAAACAATGACTTGCTTGGCAGATAAAGCAAACCTTACAATTTGATTAGTGAAAAAAGATATAGAACTGTAAAATTAAAACAAAGGCATGAAGGCTCGTACTTGTGTGCTGGATTAAAAGTCTTAATTAGTTTCCAAATAGTGTAACTACGTGAGTGAACACTGAACCCGGTTGTTCTAGGACATAACTTTTACGTCACACATTCCACTGATTATCCGGTCATTGTAGTTTGTGGTTCCCATGAGTTTATGTTACAAAACATTGTAGAGAAACATCTAGGCTCTTTCCAGCGTTTCACTTTTGTAACAAACACATAACCATCAGTTTAGAGATTAAATATTTCCCAACTCTTCCCACCATTTAGCTTTATTCTTTTCATCTTTCCTTCATGTACTTGTTAGAAAGAGAGAAGAACAAAAACACAACTTCAGCTATCATTTTTTGTTTGTTTTATTATTTACGATAACTGTCCATTTATCATCACTTGTCCAATAAAAAAAACAAAAAAAACAATTCATTTTGTACAGGAGAGATGAGGTGCACATGTAAATATGTAAATAACTCTTTCAAAGAGATATTTTAAATGATAACTTACCAGAAGTTGTGTGGGGTCAAACCTTCTGCATATTAAATACTTTCATTTTCTGTCCCTCAAAAAAAAACCTTACACAGAAAAAGGAAATATCCTAATAAAATGTATTATTGAGCATCATTTTGTGCTCACTCTTTCCAGTTTTGGAGCTAAAAACAAAACTTCACCAGTGAAATGCATCTGAACTGCGTCATCCAATGCAACAGACAAATATTTGTCAGTAAAATGTCAACCTCACTCCACTCAGAGGGATGCATTTATGTATATATTTATATTCAGGAACAAATGTACTGTAAAAACACATGATGATGCTTATGAGCAAGTAGTCTGAAGCTGCCCCTTGTGTACGTACTCCAGAGCTGTGGCGATTGTTCTCATGTCCATCTCGATACTGCGGGCCCAGTTTTCAACATCTCCAATTTCCTGTTTGAGAGAGAAGAAAGTTAACAAGACTAAAAAATTTGCCACCAAAAAAAGATCTGTGTAAGGCTAAATGTGCTAATGGCAGAATAATAATGAAATAAACATATGGGAGTATAACTTACTTTTAATGCCTGATTGAATCCCTCCACCATGCTGATCCACTGAGCTGTTTGCTTGGAGAATTGGCTCGCCTGCACTTGGAGTGTCTTAACTTCATGGTCCAGCTTGCGTTGGTTTACATATGCTTGAGCAACACTGAAGAGAAAAAGGGCGAAATACTGAGCTTACTAGTTTTGTACCTATCAGGTACCCACTTTGAAGGGGAAATGACTGGCTTAGCGATGAATACTTAGCTACTTTAGTTCCAACCATGAGCCAAAAACCTTTTTTTTTTTTTTTTTTTTTTTTTCCATTAAGAATTAGTGCAACAACATCTATTAAATCCTGCTCTCATTCTATAAGCTGATTGTCTTGGTTTGTTCACATCTTTCACAATAGTAACAGCTATTTTTTTTTTTAACTGTATGGGTGATCAATTATTTCAAGTCAAAAACTGAAACTGGCTCATGAAAGATACAGTACACTGTAAAAATCTAAAACGATTCTTGAATCTAAGCAAGTTGTTAGTGTTTTATAAGAGTGTTGTTTACTGACTAGTCAAAATTAACAAACGATGAAAAACATTTAAAATAACATAGCAACTTTATAAATGTTGACATTCCTTACTCACATTGGTCAATGAAATGTCTTTATTCGAGTCAAATACATTCTTATCCTAAACATATACAGTGTCAAAAGGACAGTAATGAGTTAATAAACCCCAATCATAAGAATGCAAAGTTGTTGTTTAAAGCTATAACCATTACTGTATTTTAATGAACAAAGACATGAGGTAATTTTTCCTACCCAACGTTCAGGTGATCTACCAGGGCTTCAGTTAGACAAGTGGCAGCAGCTATCGCTTCACGTCTGCGTTTTTCTGTGAAACAAACAACAAAACATATAATCAACATTAAAGTCTGTACATTTACGAGATTTGTTTTTAGCATGTGCTAGCATCACAGCTATCCAGCTTTCCTTACCCTGCAGCTCCTTCCGCTCATTTTGCTTCGCTTGATGCTCCTTCAGAAGGCGAGACAACATATCGCTTGAGCAAAAGTTAGGGTTGTTGTTTGCTAAAGGCAGTTCATTTAACGATTGTTTGTATTGTAAGGAAAGGTAAGATCAAGAGATCAGAACGAGACTATGTAGCCTATCACGAGATGTCGCTCTCGGATGTCTCACGTGAGTGTTTTCTTATACAATTACGCACACTCTTACATGTAATGCCTTATTATTTTGGTTTATTAAATTAGATTAATGAACAGCTGTTTTTCCAAACATACTTAAAATTAAACGGCAATTCTTATTTAGTATTATTTGTTTAAAAAAAAATGTGTGAAATGACATCAGCTTCGTATCGTGATTACCTTCAAAGTAAAAGCGTTCATGAGTACAAGTAAGTTTTTTTTACTTGCATGTAAGAACGAAACAAGATAAGTTTTAGACTGGCAAAAAGAAACATAACCGGATATCAAGTTACATTTTTTAATTAATTAAGTACAATTGGTTTGGATCGAAATTTTATTTATTTATTTATTTGTTTGTGTATATTTTATTTAGTGATGCACTATTTTATTCTGAAAGGCATTAAGCGGAAATGTGGAATTTAGCTAGTGATACAGAAGTCCCTGTTAATGGCTGATACGTAACTGTCAACAATTCTGGGGTTGCTGAGACCGAAGACCTTCTACGATCCATTACTCTCTGTATTTCACAGGTAAAGATATTTCGTCTGGTTTGATTTAAAAGTTGTCTACTGAACAATCGTAGTAGCTTGAAAGCCCGGATGCTGGTAGCATTTGTAACGAAAGCCAGTGCGTGGTTAGCTTATCCTCGTTTCGGTCTGAACCTCTAAGCAAAGTTCCTGACGGTGGTTGAACTCACTAGGAAACGAGCAGATCGCAAGACATTTATAGTTAATCTTAAATATATCTTTAAACCATTTATTCCCTCTCAAGAGTCTGTTATTGTACCATGACAGTTGACTCACGATGGAAAGCAGCTTTTAAGACACTGAACTCACCAACAATAAAGCGATCGGGTATTTAGTTGAATCTAAAATAATGTATTGCAATGTAAAATAAGACATATTAGTGAAGGAAGGTTGAGTCAGACCTAATTAGTCCGACTAGTTGATGGGATTTTCTGTTATGGAAGACACTAGGCGGGTTCTAGAAATAGACGAGATTAAACCAAGTCACCTTGCGAGGTGTATTGTGATGCATTTAAAATTAAGACGTTGAAGTAGTTGGCTCCAAATCTACCTGCAGCAAACATCGTATTTTCCTTGTCAATTGTGTATAAACATTTTATGATTTAGGGCTTTATTTCCCCAGCTTAATAAACGCTATCAAACTGTAGATTAGGTGCAATCAGGGTCCTGTATTTACACCTGCCGTCTCTGCTTACAGGTTAATTTTTAAAGGCAACTTGGACTCAAATGTTATGGATGAACCATGAAGGCACAATTACAAGTCACAGGTACGTTTTTTTCATGGACAAATTTATGAGCCGCAGTTAAACTTGAAGCCAGATATTCTTCAAGTTTTTTCTCTTTGACAATAAATCTGACCAAAGATTTGTTGCTGTAGGTTATTTTGGATTATAAAAACTGTTATATGGTAAATCAGAAAATATGAAGCAGTATTGTTCTTTACATTATTTGATTTAAATTCAATGGCTTACATACATTAAAATTACTATGACTTAAGCCCACTTGGGAAAGCCCGGATGATGGCTTTGTAAGCTTTAATTCACAACATTTAAGTAGCTCAATTGAAATAAATCTATTTGCTACTATTAAATTAATCAGAGTGTGATCTTACAAGCATTCTAACATTTTGCTGAACATTTTAATACATGATGATATACCTGTGGTTCAGATGTAGAAGTCGATTAATTAACATGAGGGCCTATTGGTTACAGTGTTGGAAAATAAGTGAATGTAAAAACTATTAATAATCTAACATTGAGTAGGTGTTATGACACTAAATTTAGTCAGGATGTACTGGCTTAATTATACATGAAAAGAATAAACCTTTAACATAAGCACTTGAAATAAATCTGCCAGATGTTGGTACTGTGAAGCGTTTAGTTAAATGTTTGGTGTTCACATGATGATATTCATTTATAATAATAATAATAATAATAATAATAATACAGTCATGCCTAGTATGTTTTCCAATTACAGCCTCTAAATCAGTATGATCATATGTACAGAAATTTACTACCAATCTCTTTATAGTTCATGGTTGTGTTCCTCTTTCCAGTGCTTTCAGCTAAGCTAAAGGAAAACAAAAAGAACTGGTTTGGTCCCAGTCCGTATGTTGAGGTAGCTGTGGATGGTGAGTCAAAGAGAACAGAAAAATGCAACAACACCCACAGTCCCAAATGGAAGCAGGCCCTCACTGTGTGAGTACTGTTGTTGTTTGTCTCTGTGGCAAAAGCCAGTTTTCTTACTAGCCGAAATACTAGAAATCAACTTGGGAATTATTAATACATAGAACTGATACAAAAGAAGAACATGTTTTAATGTTTAATGCACACATAATGTGTTTTTAGACATGTATTGATATAATTGTGAAAACTGATATAATCATAATAGAAGTTGTGGAATTCCAGTTTTTATTACATTCTAGCTGTTATAAGTTAAAGATACAATTGTACAATTTGTAGCACATACATTTCTGAGATAAACACAAGATGTCTGTAGGATGTCCCTTCATAATAATAGATATAAAAATGGTTTATCTATTAAGATACTGGTGCCTATCTCCAGCTATTGTTCTGGGCGAGAGGCAGGGTGACCCTGGACAGGTCGCCAGTCTGTCGCAGGGCAACACAGAGACAGCCAGGACAAACAACCATGCACACACACACCTAGGGAGAATTTAGACAGACCAATTAACCTGACAGTAATGTTTTTGGACTGTGGGAGGAAGCCGGAGTACCCGGAGAAAACCCACGCATGCACAGGGAGAACATGCAGAAAGACCGGGGCCGGGTATCGAACCCAGAACCTTCTTGCTGCCAGGCAACAGCTCTACCAACTGCGCTACTGTCCATTTTGTAAATGCATAAAATGTGTACATACCTCCTACTTTAGAATTTCTGTTAACAACGATGTTCACTTATGGAACAACTTTAATCATATTACACATATTGTAACACGTCATAAATTACACACTGGAAATAACAAAATAAGGTTATAGTATAGTCATTTCTTTTATATTTACATAGTTTCTGTGATAGTTTGGGGCCAAATTTAAAAGACGAGTGGATTATTGGCTCTTTTATAATTTATTAGTCTTGAAAACTCAATTAGAACAGCTGAATCTAGAGCATGTTTAGAGCACTTCAATCCCATAAAAAGTCTTAAAGCTTAAACATCAATATGTTTTCAAGTTATACTCAGTCAAGGGCCTCCCTGATTGAGCTGCACTTAACATAATGGTGGCTGAGTGAATGCCTCAGAGCTGTAAAATCAGCCTCTTCTTCACACAGCTTTTTACTGAATCTTGTCTCTTTGTTGCGTTCCTGCAGAATTGTGACTCCAGTCAGCAAACTCATATTTCGTGTTTGGAGTCATCAGACACTGAAAGCAGATATTCTGCTGGGCATGGCCACTCTGGACATCGGCACAGTCCTCAAAGCCAATGATCTTAAATGTAAGTATGCATATTTTTCCACGTAACTTTGCTTTTTTTTAAAAAATCTTGTAAATATTGCACCTTTTTAAATTTCCTTAATTTGTTGTGAAATTATGAATTTGTTGTAGGATTAGATGTTTTACATGGAATTTGCATATGTTTTTACACTTGTTAAGGAAAGGGTTCAAATAAAATAAGTAGCTTCCCATTCCGTGGAGCTACATTTCTGTTGCTAGTCTGTGGATGTTTTATCCGTTTTGCCGGGAACTGTGCAGTTAAACGGTGCAGCACACTCTATAGAGGCTGTTCTCTCCTATTATAAAAAAAAGTTCATGCTTGACTTGTACTCATTATCAATATATTCTGTTGTGGTTTGATAACATCGACAACCATTTTTCATATTTATAACCTTGTTCTTTTGTAAATGTTTGGATTTAGAGGAACATTGTGTGCTTTTTCTACTTCGATCTCTAAGTTGAAGTCTGAGTTTTGCTATCGTGTTGCTGTTGGAAGCATTTTCTTAACAATGTGATTTCTCCTAATCCCAGTGTGTGAGGTGGTGCAGACGCTGCAGCTATGCTTCGACAGAGACCCTCAGGATATTGTAGGGGACCTCTCAATCTGTCTGGACGGCATGCAGGTTGACCCGGAAGCCTTTGCTCTGGCAGAGAGAGAGCAAGGTAAGCCAAGCCCCAAACTAGGTCATGGCGGAAATAATGGAGAACTTCAACACTTCCTTTTTTGAATTAGGATGTCAGTGCTATATTGGCTTTTTATAAGTGATTAAACTGGTTTACTTTGCTTAATTCATGTACGGGACTTCTTTCAAGGTTCAAATACCTGCATTACACTCATTTGCCACCAGAGAGCAGTAGAAGCATATCATACATCGAGTTCATTGAGGACAGCTTACACAATCATTTAAAATGGCTAATTTAAGATGGCAGGTTTTAATTTGACTTCCATATAACCAAAAAAAAAAAAAAAAAAAAAAAAAAATTTTTAAATTCAACTGTAATAGCACTATTAAACATTTTGAAAGCAAATCAGTTGAAATATTATCAATATTATGAAATAGATCATTTCATTATCAGAAATGATCTAACATGGTCATACATTTCCTCTTTTTTTTTTTTTTTCCTAGCTCCTCTTACAAATGGAAATGCAAAACAAAATGGCAACACAAGCAACAGGTCTTGTAAACTTTTACTTGAAAATCCAAACCTTGGGTTTATTGTTTTGCCAGTTTTTCTCCAATAAGGTTCCAGGTAATGTTTCTTAAACTTTTACTTTTAGATCAAGCCGGGACACGTCTCCATCCAGTGACTCAGATGACTGGGTCATTGTGCCCAATGGTCTTGCTGTCAGCGATAGAGGTTCTCCCTCTCTGTCTGCAGAGGGCTCCACTTCCTCGCGTCCTCCTAGGCCTGCCAGGCCTCCGCCTCCCACGCCACACAAACCTGCTGCCTCACCAAGTAGGAAAACACACAGTTTCATATACTAAAGAGCTGCTAAAGATATGGATATCACATTTAAAGAAAGCAAATATTCTACTTTTAGATTTATTAGTTTTTGTTGACTACCCAAGGGGGTATTAGACTCCAGTTAAAGAAAGTTTTGCAAAA